TGACGCTTGAAAGGCCTAGTGTCATATTAGGGTCGATAACATCCTGATTATAAACAGACTTGAAAAAATTGGCAAACATATTGGCAATGTCTTTAGGTTTTGAAGAGCAGGTGTCACCAAAATTCATACATTTGGGAAAATAAGATTTGGAGTTATGACTTTTGGAGTTGATAAAACTGTAGAAGATCTTCGTATTATGATTTAAATTGGTTTGTATATACGTTAAGTATTTTTTGTAATCTTTTTTGATAGCCGTTTTAGAAAGGCTACGAAGATGTCTATAAGAATTGTAATGACTTTCATTTGAAGTTTTTCTATAGAGGGCTAAAGTTTTACGTTTTTTATTAATAAGTTGGATAGTGTCAGGCTTGTACCATGCTGGAAAATGACAATTATGTAGTCTAGATTTAGGAATACATATATCGATAGCAGAAAATATAATAGAATAAAAAGAGTCAGTTGCTGAGTTTATATCGTTATAATCTAGTAGAGAATTCCAATTAAGTGAAGAAAAGTAGTCGTTTAATTCGCTATAGTTGGCATTTTTAAAATTATAACGCCAACTTGCCAATGGAGCAATAGAGGGTGTAGAATATGGTAAATTAATAAGCGTCAAAAGCGGCGGATGGTGGGAATCGATTGGAACTAAACCTTGAGATAACTTTTTTACAAAGGTATTTGGTATTGAACTAAGTATTAAATCGAGGATAACGTCGTTGTTATTAGCTACGCGATTGTATTGAATTAAATCTAGTGAAGAAAAGCTGTCACAAATAATTTTATCTTTATCACTAGTTCCTGTTATAAGGTTTTCTATAGTAGATGAATAAACAAGGTTTGGTAAGTTATAGTCTCCAGCTATGCAAAGTAAAGCATCAGGAAAAGATGTTTGAATCCAATCAATGGAGGCAATGTTTTGAAGATAAGTATCAATACTAGAATTTGGAGGAATGTAAACTGCGCCACATATTAATAAATAGTTTTCGCACCTGATGGAAACATATAATTCTTCACATATAGTAGTAGGAACGCGTACTATGTCGGTTAGAAGGTATGAACGCACAGCTATCAAAACACCACCGCCACGAGCCTTTACCGAGGATCTAAGATCACGGTCTAAGCGAAATACTGTGTAGTCACTACTAAAAATTTCACCATCTGTTATCTCACTACAAAGCCAAGTTTCTGTTAATATAATAATATCGTAGTCCATATTCAAGGAAGTTAGAAAAGCAGTTGTCGTTTTTGTTCGTAAACCACGCACATTTTGGTAGAAAAGACTTAATCCTGTTTTACGATCGGAGTGAGGTTTTTTGTATCCTTGATAATTGTAGGCATACCAATTTTGTAGCGTATACGGAGATCCTTTTCGCCATTCTCGCGTCTTGTGCGAAGTTCTTTGCGTATATTATAGGCTTGTTGTTGTTGCATGGGTCTTAAATCATTGTTAAAATAAACAGAGTCGATTTTAGGTTTAGCTCGAACTAAAACATTAACTGTGGCGGAATTATCGAAAACTATTTTAATGGAGCGGGGTTTGGTAGAGCTGGATTTTCCGAGACGCATGGCAGACATTATTTTGTAATCATTTTCGGGAATAGCGGTAGATATAATTTGCGTTATTTTTTCCATGTCTTTCCTTTTACGATCTTCAGGTGATCCATTTGTTTCCGGGAGACCTGTGATAATTATGTTTTTTTCACGATGAATACGATCCCTAGCTTCTGAAATAACTTACTCTATATTTGGAGCAGATTGTTGATCAACATTGTTAGTAATTCCCTTTGTTTTTATATCTTCCAACTCTTTTCTTGTTATATATATGTAATATTAAGCAAAGAAAAGTGCTAAATAAGTGTTAGTCAATGTCTAACTTTCTAAAATTGCCATGATATCCCAAAAATTCGTCGTTTTCGTTTGCAAGTCTGGCTGGCCTTAAACTCCCATTCACACTTAATTTATCCAGTAGATCGAAACGGTCTTGATATTTTTGATACTTCAGGTGGCACATTTCTACAAATTCAAATAAAAAAATATTGCAAACTAAAATGTTGTCAGTACCATGCAATTCCTCGATTGACTTTTCGGTACTACCGTAATCCTTAGGTATGATCTCTAAAGGAAAGTGCTCCTTTAAAATATTCGCGTCTTTACACACATGAATCTAAATTCGTCAAAATAAATTAATTGTTCCTTTCAAAGTACGTGTCTTACCCTTTCGAATAATTTAGGTTTGATGAGAGTCTTGACAATAGATAGTAATGTGCTGACGTAAGGGACAGTATTAATTATGTACACACCCTTCAATGGAAGAGAATATATTTTCTGAAAGAAAGAAAATGTTATCGGTTTGTTATTTATTTGTCTATGTACTCACTTTGTACAAAGTTATGAATGTCAGAAGAAAAACTGGTGTTAGTTTTGACAAAAAGCGTACTGATGTTGCTTCCAAGTCAAAAATGATCACATCTCCATACATGATATCTTCTTTCAATCTAATTTCATGCAAGTTAAAACCCATTTTAAGTACGTCATAAGGTTCAATTTGCTCCACTTTGTCTTTAGTTCGGTATTTCTGCAGGAACACTCTGTACAGAAGTACATGTTTATGTTTTTTTTTGCGTTTTCTACATTACTACATTATTCAAGATTAGAAAATTTTGCACACTTTTGTATCTGTAAATTTTTTAATTAACAATCAAATACGAGTTTATCGTTTACTTACCTAAAATTTCGGGAAGGTGATGTTGAACTTTCATCCAGTTTTTTAAGTTTAGGACATCTTCGGCCAACGAAATTTGAGTTTTGTTGTAGGTATACTTTTAAAATTGAACTCACAGCTTTGCTTTGGATAGAAAATAGTACTGTGTCTTTAGACATGTTTTACCTTATGAAGTGAAGGGATTAAAGTATTTGGAGTTGATCGAATGTTAATAAAGAACTTGTAAAAAAAAATGTAAGGATTAGATAAAACAACTTTCTTATGCCTGATGTTTTACGTCACTTAAATAGTCTTTGGTTTTTTCTACTTATGATATATTTTTTATGGAGGTTGTATTGTCCGTGATTAGTGATTATAAACAAGGTTAACAACCATGGCATTCATATTGTCCGAAATAATCTCACTGATATCTGCTTTTCAGACACCATACAACTATATGCTTTATAGTTATTATTACTGTATCTTACTCTATTTTTTGTCCTCAAAATCTAACAGTAATTTGTCTCTTAGAAAACTAAAAAATCGCAAAATTCAACTTTACATATACAAAATAGTCAGCAAAAAAGAAAGAAAAGTAAAGAATGAGATACAGTAATAAAATATAGTCTGTTCTATTTGCAAAATCTGAAATATCGATATTTGAAAATTGTAATAATCAAAACATTTTTATAAACACTCTGTATAAGTAAACAAAGCCCGTACCTTTCTTTATCTCTCCTCAAAATATTGTAAGACAGACGTTAAAAATAACCCACCTTTACGATTTATCAATAAAATTACACTTTTATAATTTTCAATTGTTCGATTTTTTATATTGTCATTTTCCATCATTAGATATTTTGATTTATGAGTTCTTCAAATTTTTAAAATGGGTATATATTAAATTTTCAGATTTTTTCTTGTTTCCTGTTTTCCAGTTTTATGTCTACATTTTTATAGTTTCTAATTTAAAATTTTTCGATTTTACATCTTCTGAATGTTTCAATTTTTGCGATTTCTTCAAATATTCCATTTTTTGATTTTTTAGAGTTTCGATTTTTATTTTGCAACCTTTCGGTTTCTGCGGTTTTTTATTTCTTCAATTTTTCGATTTTTAATTTTTTAGTTTTCAGTATTAAAATTTTCAATTTTTCGATGTTTCAATTTCTGAATTTTTGATTTTTAAATGTTTCCTTTTTTCAATTTTACTGTTATTTTCTGAAAAAATTAAATTTAGCCCACCCGCTCATTCTTCTAAAAAAAATCTGACCTTACATGACCTGACCTAACCTACACTGAGCAATCCTGACCTAACCTTACATGACCTGACATGACTTGACATATTATGACTTGGCTTAGTTTGACCATGGCCGACTAGTATAAAGATTATGGCCTGTCCAAGAGGTACGATACGTGTTGCTATCTATTAATAATTACTTAATAATTTAGCAAAATTTTAATTTGACTTGACATTATGGGACTTCAAAACGTGTAATGGTGGTTTGTTTCGGTATGAATGCCTTTGTGCCTTTCAAAAGGTGTTAATAATTCTTTTGTCGTTTTTGAATTATTAATAGATGGCAGCACGTAATGTACCTTTGACATTCCTTTGGACAGGCCATAATCTTTATACTAGTCGGCCATGGTTTGACCTGACGAAGCCCAGCCTGATATGACCCGACCTGACTTGGTATAAGCCACACTGATTAATTATTGTCAAAGTTAATGCAAGGGTTAGAGATTTTATATTTTCTTCTATTGAAAAACCGGTTTCGGTATTGAATCTGAATTAACAAAAATTTGTCAAAATTATTAAAATAACCAAAATGGTCAAAGCGGTACTTGAATAAAAGAGAAAATAAAATCCCGATTGAACTACATATAAGCACAATTTGAGTTTTCATCCAGTTTTTCAAGTTCTGGATTTCTTCAGTTAGAGATTCTTCAGTTTTGTTGAATACTGCATTCAACTCAGAGCGTTGTTTTGGTTACGAAATAATTTAGTGTGTTTTGTCATTGTTTTTTACCTTATGAAGTGCAGAGAGCTTAAAAGGTTTGAACCGTTCATCGACTTTTGAGAGTACCACTAAATAAATTTTGAAAGTTGTTTAAGCGAGACTAGTTTTTACCATCTCATATTTTTTTTAATACATTTTTTTCTCATTTTAATAAATTTTTTGATGCAGGGTTCTATTTATATATATCAAGGTTAACTACACGCAGTATAATTAGAATTATATTATGTTCTAGATATATTTGAAGTGGACATTTCAAAAAAACTATCTAATGCAATGCCGATAAGCCAATTCTTCCCTTATTATACATATGTAATCTTAAGCAAGGAAAACAATGTTTCGATAAAGTGCAAAATAAGTGTTAGTCAATACCTAATTTTCTAAAATTGCCATGATATCCCAAAAATTCGTGGTTTTCGTTTGCAAGTCTGGCTGGCCTTAAATTCTCATTCACTCTTAATTTATCCAGTAGATCGAAACGGTCTTGATATTCTTGATACTTCAGGTGGCACATTTCTACAAATTCAAATAAAAAAATATTACAAACTAAAATCTTGTCAGTACCATGCAATTCCTCGATTGACTTTTCGGTACCACCGTAATCCCTTGGTAACATTTCTAAAGGAAAGTGCTCCTTTAAAATATTCGCGTCTTCACAAACATGAATCTAAAATCAAACTAAATTAATTGTTCCTTTCCAAGTACGTGTCTTACCCTTTCAAATAATTTAGGTTTGATGAGAGTCTTGACGATAGCTAGTAATGTGCTGACGTAAGGGACAGCATTAATTACGTACACACCCTTCACTGGAAGAGAATATATTTTCTGAAAGAAACAAAGTGTTATCGTTTTGTTATTTTTTTGTCTATGTACTCACTTTGTACAAAGTAATAAATGTCAGAAGAAAAACTGGTGTTAGTTTTGACAAGAAGCGTATTGATGTTCCTTCCAAGTCAAAAATGATCACATCTCCATACATGATATCTTCCTTCAATCTAACTTCATGCAAGTTAAAACCCATTTTAAGTATGTCATAGGGATTAATTTGATCCACTTTGTCTTTAGTTCGGTATTTCTCCACGACTACTCTGTACATATCCTTGGTCAATTTTGGTAAGGGCACATGGTACATTAGCTTTCCCACTTCTTTCATGTTTGAACAACGAGGATTCGCATTTGCGGACAAATCAGGTACCTGACTTCGTAAAGTGTAGTACATGTCTATATTTTCTTTTGCTTTTTGTACATTACATTTAGTTAAAATTAGAAAATTTTGCACACTTTTATCATCTATAAATTTATTAATTGTGTTAACAGTCAAATACGAGTTTATCGTTAGCTTACCTAAAATTTCCGGAAGGTGATGCTGATCTTTCATCCAGTTTTTTATGTTTAGGACATCTTCAGCCAACGATTCTTCAGTTTTGTTGTACAGTTGGACAATTGAAGCGATAGTGTTGTTTTGGACTTGAAATAATTTTGCGTCTGGTTCCATTATTGTGGAGACCTTAGAAGGTTTGAGTGTAACATGAAGCGTTCATCGAATACTAGCAAAATATTTTTTTATTGTAAAGTTAAATAAGCTGTAATAAATCATTCAAGTAAAACAAGTTTATGTTTTATGTGCTCAATTATTTTTTTTTCCATTACGGTTAAATTCATTTAAGATAGTCATTCGTCATGCTATGTTATGGTAAACAAGTTATTTATGAATTAATGAATCCGGGTAATCGTAGCAACAGTGCTTTTTCAGGCCTTAAATTAGAAGGATCTGCTGACACTAGTTTTATAGTAGGAATAGTAAAATTACAATTTTAAAATTTAAAAAGTAAGCTTTGAAGCAGAAAGAGACTTTTTTTCTCTCCAAGGCAGTACCCGAGTTGAGCTGTTGCTTTTAAAATCCAATCTCCTAAAAATTGTAAATATAGGCACATGAACAACATAGTTAAAATGACGTTAGAGAAAATAAAAAATATATATATTGGAACAACACTGAAGAAGAGGGATCGACATTTAGCTTGTTTTTACACTTATCTTCTAAGATCTTTATTAATTTTTTGTTTTATTTTCATTGTTTCGAGTTCGGCTATTCACTTTAACTTAACTTTGGGTATTTTGGACAAAAACAACGAATTTTCAAAGATTTTTATTGTTAAGGTTTTATAAGATTGGCAGAAATCCCAAAAAAAAATTTTTCATACGATTAGACTTTTAATTATTATTCACAATACATTTCTCGTAAATTATTTTTATCATACAAACATCTGGCTATCAACAAGCAATAAAAGAATTTATGGTTTACATTAATTTGCATAATATTAATGTGTACATAATATCAGTTCCATGCAATTTCCCCACTGATTTCATTAAATATTGGCAGTGTACATAATTTTTTAAGAATAGATGAATTTTCCATTTTAAAAAATCCTGATTAAACTAAAGCGAGATTTATAAACTTGCTGTTGGCGTTGTAGTTGCTTTTCCCGCCAACGTTGCTTTAAGAGCTGAAAATTGTCATTTATAAACTCCGTGGCCAAGTTACCGTTGATAGTAATGCTCTAATTTAAGTGTGTTTTGTCGTACAGAATCATAAAAAAATGTCGAAATATAGTTCAGACTTAATAAAAATCGACGAAAAACAGATTTCTAGTTAAAATTTGATGGTTTCGTTGCTCTTTCCGAATCCCTAGGGTGTCTGATTGGCTTAAAACTACAAGAAAACGCTTTAAAAGTGATGTTTGGTGTTCAACTTTTGCAATATTTAAATGGGTTGAAGAAGAAAAGTGGAAGATTTAAATTGATTTACTATAAAAATTTAACATTTTAGACATGGTATAAGTTTCTTATTGTCGAAATAGCCCTACACATATTAAGAAAAAACGGCAAAATATTGGTCCCGCCCACCCGCCCTATCTCAATTGTGATGATTTTTTTTTATCGTCGTGAGCCAAAGAAGCGGAATTTAATTGCAAAGTCGTTATTATTTATCTACAAGAAATTACCATGTAAGGCATGTTGTGTTTTTAATTTCAAAATCCATATTTCCTTGCCAAAATTTTCCATATTAAACGCGTTTTAAGTTTCTAAGAAAAAAAATCATCACAATAAAGATTGGGTGGGTGGGCGGGTTTACATTTTGCCTTTTTGTTTTAATATGTGTAGACTTGTTTTCACAACATGAACTCTAAACATCTTCAAAATGGAAAATTTGTACATATGTATAAGAAAATATCGATTTTGCAATTAGGCTCCACCCACGTTTCCTTGTAAAAATGTACAATTTTAACCATGTTTTAAGTTTGTTGTTGTGATCACTATGTAAATGTAATGTGTAAATCAAGGGCAATCGTAGCAGTAAATGGTTTTGCAACTCTCAGATTAGCTATACAGGGTGAGTATTATAATTTTTGTGTCGGATCGACCTTTATTATAATAATAAGCAGGGAAAACAATATTTCGATAAAGTGTAAAATAAACGTTAATCAATCTCTAACTTTCTAAAATTTCCATAATAACCCAAAAATTCGTCGTTTTCATTTTGAAGTCTGGCTGGTCTTAAGCTTTCATTCACTCTCAATTTATCCAAGAGATCGAAACGGTCTTGATATTCTTGAAACTTCAGCCGACATAATTCTAAAAATTCACATTAAAACTACTCCAAACTAAAATGTTATCCATACCATGCAATTCCTCGACTGACTTTTCGGTGCCACCGTAATTCTTTGGTAACATTTCTAAGGGAAAGTGTTCCCTCAAAATACTCGTGTCTTTGCAAAAATGAATCTAAATTTCATAGTAAAATTAAATGTTCGCCTTGAAGTACGACGACTCTTACCCTTTGGAATAATTTAGGCTTCAACAAAGTCTTGCCGATGGCTAGTAACGTGCTGGCGTAAGGGATAGTATTAACGACATAGACACCCTTCACTCGAAGCGAATATATTTTCTGCAAGAAAATGTTATTATTTAGGTATTTATTTTTTCTTATACTTACTTTATACAAAGTTAACATTGTCACAAGAAAAGTTGGCGTCAGTTTTGACAAGAAACGTACAGATGACCATTCTAAGTCAAAAATGATCACATCTCCAAACATGATATCTTCTTTTAATCTCACTTCTTGCAAGTTGGCAGCCATTTTAAGTATGTCGTAGGGATCAATTTGTTCCTGGTTGTCTTTAATTTGGTATTTATTCACGAACACTCTGTACATATCTTTGGTTAGTTTTGGTAAGGGTACATGGTACATTTGATTTTCCACGGTTTTCATGTTGGAACATCGAGGATTCATGTTTTTGACCAAATTAGGTACTTGACTTCGGAAAGTGTAGTACATGTCGATTTTTTCTTTGGCTTTTTCTGGGTTACATTTATTAAGGATTAAAAAATTTTGCAGACTTTTATCATCTATAAATTTACTAATTGTGTTACGAGTTAAGTTTGAGTCGTTTTCTTACCTAAAATTTCGGGAAGGTGATGTTGACCTTTCATCCAGTTTTTTAAATTTAGAACATCGTCAGCCAACGATTCTTCAGTTTTGTTGTACAGTTGGACAATTGAAGCGATAGTGTTGTTTTGGACTTGAAATAATTTTGCGTCTGGTTCCATTATTGTGGAGACCTTAGAAGGTTTGAGTGTAACATGAAGCGTTCATCGAATACTAGCAAAATATTTTTTTATTGTAAAGTTAAATAAGCTGTAATAAATCATTCAAGTAAAACAAGTTTATGTTTTATGTGCTCAATTATTTTTTTTTCCATTACGGTTAAATTCATTTAAGATAGTCATTCGTCATTGCTATGTTATGGTAAACAAGTTATTTATGAATTAATATCCGGGTAACCGTAGCAACAGTGCTTTATCAGGCCTTAAATTAGAAGGATCTGCTGACACTAGTTTTATAGTAGGAATAGTAAAATTACAATTTTAAAAATTAAAAAGTAAGCTTTGAAGCAGAAAGAGACTTTTTTTTTTCTCTCCAAGGCAGTACCCGAGTTGAGCTGTTGCTTTTAAAATCTAATCTCCTAAAAATTGTAGATATAGGCACATGAACAACATAGTTAAAATGACGTTAGAGAAAATAAAAAATATATATATTGGAACAACACTGAAGAAGAGGGATCGACATTTAGCTTGTTTTTACACTTATCTTCTAAGATCTTTATTAATTTTTTGTTTTATTTTCATTGTTTCGAGTTCGGCTATTCACTTTAACTTAACTTTGGGTATTTTGGACAAAAACAACGAATTTTCAAAGATTTTTATTGTTAAGGTTTTATAAGATTGGCAGAAATCCCAAAAAAAAATTTTTCATACGATTAGACTTTTAATTATTATTCACAATACATTTCTCGTAAATTATTTTTATCATACAAACATCTGGCTATCAACAAGCAATAAAAGAATTTATGGTTTACATTAATTTGCATAATATTAATGTGTACATAATATCAGTTCCATGCAATTTCCCCACTGATTTCATTAAATATTGGCAGTGTACATAATTTTTTAAGAATAGATGAATTTTCCATTTTAAAAAATCCTGATTAAACTAAAGCGAGATTTATAAACTTGCTGTTGGCGTTGTAGTTGCTTTTCCCGCCAACGTTGCTTTAAGAGCTGAAAATTGTCATTTATAAACTCCGTGGCCAAGTTACCGTTGATAGTAATGCTCTAATTTAAGTGTGTTTTGTCGTACAGAATCATAAAAAAATGTCGAAATATAGTTCAGACTTAATAAAAATCGACGAAAAACAGATTTCTAGTTAAAATTTGATGGTTTCGTTGCTCTTTCCGAATCCCTAGGGTGTCTGATTGGCTTAAAACTACAAGAAAACGCTTTAAAAGTGATGTTTGGTGTTCAACTTTTGCAATATTTAAATGGGTTGAAGAAGAAAAGTGGAAGATTTAAATTGATTTACTATAAAAATTTAACATTTTAGACATGGTATAAGTTTCTTATTGTCGAAATAGCTCTACACATATTAAGAAAAAACGGCAAAATATTGGTCCCGCCCACCCGCCCTATCTCAATTGTGATGATTTTTTTTTATCGTCGTGAGCCAAAGAAGCGGAATTTAATTGCAAAGTCGTTATTATTTATCTACAAGAAATTACCATGTAAGGCATGTTGTGTTTTTAATTTCAAAATCCATATTTCCTTGCCAAAATTTTCCATATTAAACGCGTTTTAAGTTTCTAAGAAAAAAAATCATCACAATAAAGATTGGGTGGGTGGGCGGGTTTACATTTTGCCTTTTTGTTTTAATATGTGTAGACTTCTTTTCACAACATGAACTCTAAACATCTTCAAAATGGAAAATTTGTACATATGTATAAGAAAATATCGATTTTGCAATTAGGCTCCACCCACGTTTCCTTGTAAAAATGTACAATTTTAACCATGTTTTAAGTTTGTTGTTGTGATCACTATGTAAATGTAATGTGTAAATCAAGGGCAATCGTAGCAGTAAATGGTTTTGCAACTCTCAGATTAGCTATACAGGGTGAGTATTATAATTTTTGTGTCGGATCGACCTTTATTATAATAATAAGCAGGGAAAACAATATTTCGATAAAGTGTAAAATAAACGTTAATCAATCTCTAACTTTCTAAAATTTCCATAATAACCCAAAAATTCGTCGTTTTCATTTTGAAGTCTGGCTGGTCTTAAGCTTTCATTCACTCTCAATTTATCCAAGAGATCGAAACGGTCTTGATATTCTTGAAACTTCAGCCGACATAATTCTAAAAATTCACATTAAAACTACTCCAAACTAAAATGTTATCCATACCATGCAATTCCTCGACTGACTTTTCGGTGCCACCGTAATTCTTTGGTAACATTTCTAAGGGAAAGTGTTCCCTCAAAATACTCGTGTCTTTGCAAAAATGAATCTAAATTTCATAGTAAAATTAAATGTTCGCCTTGAAGTACGACGACTCTTACCCTTTGGAATAATTTAGGCTTCAACAAAGTCTTGCCGATGGCTAGTAACGTGCTGGCGTAAGGGATAGTATTAACGACATAGACACCCTTCACTCGAAGCGAATATATTTTCTGCAAGAAAATGTTATTATTTAGGTATTTATTTTTTCTTATACTTACTTTATACAAAGTTAACATTGTCACAAGAAAAGTTGGCGTCAGTTTTGACAAGAAACGTACAGATGACCATTCTAAGTCAAAAATGATCACATCTCCAAACATGATATCTTCTTTTAATCTCACTTCTTGCAAGTTGGCAGCCATTTTAAGTATGTCGTAGGGATCAATTTGTTCCTGGTTGTCTTTAATTTGGTATTTATTCACGAACACTCTGTACATATCTTTGGTTAGTTTTGGTAAGGGTACATGGTACATTTGATTTTCCACGGTTTTCATGTTGGAACATCGAGGATTCATGTTTTTGACCAAATTAGGTACTTGACTTCGGAAAGTGTAGTACATGTCGATTTTTTCTTTGGCTTTTTCTGGGTTACATTTATTAAGGATTAAAAAATTTTGCAGACTTTTATCATCTATAAATTTACTAATTGTGTTACGAGTTAAGTTTGAGTCGTTTTCTTACCTAAAATTTCGGGAAGGTGATGTTGACCTTTCATCCAGTTTTTTAAATTTAGAACATCGTCAGCCAACGATTCTTCAGTTTTGTTGTACAGTTGGACAATTGAAGCGATAGTGTTGTTTTGGACTTGAAATAATTTTGCGTCTGGTTCCATTATTGTGGAGACCTTAGAAGGTTTGAGTGTAACATGAAGCGTTCATCGAATACTAGCAAAATATTTTTTTATTGTAAAGTTAAATAAGCTGTAATAAATCATTCAAGTAAAACAAGTTTATGTTTTATGTGCTCAATTATTTTTTTTTCCATTACGGTTAAATTCATTTAAGATAGTCATTCGTCATTGCTATGTTATGGTAAACAAGTTATTTATGAATTAATATCCGGGTAACCGTAGCAACAGTGCTTTATCAGGCCTTAAATTAGAAGGATCTGCTGACACTAGTTTTATAGTAGGAATAGTAAAATTACAATTTTAAAAATTAAAAAGTAAGCTTTGAAGCAGAAAGAGACTTTTTTTTTTCTCTCCAAGGCAGTACCCGAGTTGAGCTGTTGCTTTTAAAATCTAATCTCCTAAAAATTGTAGATATAGGCACATGAACAACATAGTTAAAATGACGTTAGAGAAAATAAAAAATATATATATTGGAACAACACTGAAGAAGAGGGATCGACATTTAGCTTGTTTTTACACTTATCTTCTAAGATCTTTATTAATTTTTTGTTTTATTTTCATTGTTTCGAGTTCGGCTATTCACTTTAACTTAACTTTGGGTATTTTGGACAAAAACAACGAATTTTCAAAGATTTTTATTGTTAAGGTTTTATAAGATTGGCAGAAATCCCAAAAAAAAATTTTTCATACGATTAGACTTTTAATTATTATTCACAATACATTTCTCGTAAATTATTTTTATCATACAAACATCTGGCTATCAACAAGCAATAAAAGAATTTATGGTTTACATTAATTTGCATAATATTAATGTGTACATAATATCAGTTCCATGCAATTTCCCCACTGATTTCATTAAATATTGGCAGTGTACATAATTTTTTAAGAATAGATGAATTTTCCATTTTAAAAAATCCTGATTAAACTAAAGCGAGATTTATAAACTTGCTGTTGGCGTTGTAGTTGCTTTTCCCGCCAACGTTGCTTTAAGAGCTGAAAATTGTCATTTATAAACTCCGTGGCCAAGTTACCGTTGATAGTAATGCTCTAATTTAAGTGTGTTTTGTCGTACAGAATCATAAAAAAATGTCGAAATATAGTTCAGACTTAATAAAAATCGACGAAAAACAGATTTCTAGTTAAAATTTGATGGTTTCGTTGCTCTTTCCGAATCCCTAGGGTGTCTGATTGGCTTAAAACTACAAGAAAACGCTTTAAAAGTGATGTTTGGTGTTCAACTTTTGCAATATTTAAATAGGTTGAAGAAGAAAAGTGGAAGATTTAAATTGATTTACTATAAAAATTTAACATTTTAGACATGGTATAAGTTTCTTATTGTCGAAATAGCTCTACACATATTAAGAAAAAACGGCAAAATATTGGTCCCGCCCACCCGCCCTATCTCAATTGTGATGATTTTTTTTTATCGTCGTGAGCCAAAGAAGCGGAATTTAATTGCAAAGTCGTTATTATTTATCTACAAGAAATTACCATGTAAGGCATGTTGTGTTTTTAATTTCAAAATCCATATTTCCTTGCCAAAATTTTCCATATTAAACGCGTTTTAAGTTTCTAAGAAAAAAAATCATCACAATAAAGATTGGGTGGGTGGGCGGGTTTACATTTTGCCTTTTTGTTTTAATATGTGTAGACTTCTTTTCACAACATGAACTCTAAACATCTTCAAAATGGAAAATTTGTACATATGTATAAGAAAATATCGATTTTGCAATTAGGCTCCACCCACGTTTCCTTGTAAAAATGTACAATTTTAACCATGTTTTAAGTTTGTTGTTGTGATCACTATGTAAATGTAATGTGTAAATCAAGGGCAATCGTAGCAGTAAATGGTTTTGCAACTCTCAGATTAGCTATACAGGGTGAGTATTATAATTTTTGTGTCGGATCGACCTTTATTATAATAATAAGCAGGGAAAACAATATTTCGATAAAGTGTAAAATAAACGTTAATCAATCTCTAACTTTCTAAAATTTCCATAATAACCCAAAAATTCGTCGTTTTCATTTTGAAGTCTGGCTGGTCTTAAGCTTTCATTCACTCTCAATTTATCCAAGAGATCGAAACGGTCTTGATATTCTTGAAACTTCAGCCGACATAATTCTAAAAATTCACATTAAAACTACTCCAAACTAAAATGTTATCCATACCATGCAATTCCTCGACTGACTTTTCGGTGCCACCGTAATTCTTTGGTAACATTTCTAAGGGAAAGTGTTCCCTCAAAATACTCGTGTCTTTGCAAAAATGAATCTAAATTTCATAGTAAAATTAAATGTTCGCCTTGAAGTACGACGACTCTTACCCTTTGGAATAATTTAGGCTTCAACAAAGTCTTGCCGATGGCTAGTAACGTGCTGGCGTAAGGGATAGTATTAACGACATAGACACCCTTCACTCGAAGCGAATATATTTTCTGCAAGAAAATGTTATTATTTAGGTATTTATTTTTTCTTATACTTACTTTATACAAAGTTAACATTGTCACAAGAAAAGTTGGCGTCAGTTTTGACAAGAAACGTACAGATGACCATTCTAAGTCAAAAATGATCACATCTCCAAACATGATATCTTCTTTTAATCTCACTTCTTGCAAGTTGGCAGCCATTTTAAGTATGTCGTAGGGATCAATTTGTTCCTGGTTGTCTTTAATTTGGTATTTATTCACGAACACTCTGTACATATCTTTGGTTAGTTTTGGTAAGGGTACATGGTACATTTGCGTTTCCACGGTTTTCATGTTGGAACAACGAGGATTTATGTTTTTGACCAAATTAGGTACTTGACTTCGAAATGTGTAGTACATGTCGATTTTTTCTTTGGCTTTTTCTGGGTTACATTTATTAAGGATTAAAAAATTTTGCAGACTTGTATCATCTATAAAGTTACTAATTGTGTTAAGAGTTAAGTTTGAGTCGTTTTCTTACCTAAAATTTCGGGAAGGTGATGTTGACCTTTCATCCAGTTTTTTAAATTTAGAACATCGTCAGCCAACGATTCTTCAGTTTTGTTGTATAGTTTGGCAACTGAATCGATCGTGTTGTTTTCGACGTGAAACAATTTTGCTTCTTGTTGCATTGTTGTACCTTTAAAAGTGTGGAGACTTTAGAAGGTTACTAGGAATACTGGCAAAAATTTTTTTAGAGTAGTTTTTACATAAGTTTTAGTAAACTATCCAAGATAAACAGGTTTTTATTTTTCTTAAACACTTTTTATCCTTATATTGTAATTAATTTTTTAATATTATTGTGAACAAGTTATTTATAAACCAATAAATCAACGATAACCGTAGCAACAAATGCTTCCACAACCCTTATATTAGGCATAAACTTCATAGTTATTTAATTTTTTTTCTTGTCATACAAACGTCTAATCTACTCTTATTATAGTAACCAATAAGTGTTAATCAATATCTAACTTTTTAAATTTTCCATGATATCCTAAAAGTTCGTCGTTTTCGTTTGCTAGTCGAGTTGGCCTCAGATTTTCATTCACTCGTAATTCATCCAGGAGATTGAAACGGTCTCGATAATCTTGAAACTTAAGTTGGCATAATTCTACAAATTTAAATTAAATTAACTAAATCCAAACTAAAATATTATCACTACCGTGCAATTCCTCGACTGATTTCTCCGTACCACCGTAATCCTTTGGCAAAATCTCTGAAGAAAAGTGCTCCTTTAAAATGCTGGTGTCTTTACACACATGAATCTGAATGTTTAAGAATAGATTAATTTTCCATTTTGAAGTATATCCTCACCCTTTTGATAATTTTAGGTTTCAAGAAGGTCTTGGCGATGGCTAGTAACGTGCTGACGTAAGGGACAGTGTTAATAATGTAAACACCCTGTACAAGAAGAGAATATATTTTCTGAAAAAAAAAATCATTATTTTATTATTTATTTGCTTAGATTTACTTGGTACAAAGTTATAGCCGTTCCAGCAAAATTTGGCGTCAGTTTTGACAAAAAACTCATACACGTCCCTTCTATGTCAAAAATGAAAATATCTCGAAACATGATGTCCTCTTTTAGTCTGATTTCTTGCAAGTTAGCAGCCATTTTAAGTACGTCGTAGGGTTCAATTTGCCCCACTTTGTCTTTAGTTCGACACTTACTGACGAACACTCTGTACATATCTTTCGTCAGTTTTGGTAGCGGTACGTGGTGCATAAGATTTGCCATTTCTTTTATGTTCGAACAGTTAGGGTTCATATTTCCGACTATTTCAAGTACTTGACTGCGGAAAGTGTAGTACATGTCAATTTTAACTTTTGCTTCTTCTATTTTACATTTATTCAAGATTAAAAAATTTCAGGTATGATTTTATCGTTTGCTTACCCAAAATTTCGGGAAGGTTGTGCTGCAATTGCATCCACTTTTTAAAATTTTTGACATCTTCTGCCAAAGATTGTTCAGTTCTATTGTATGCTTGGACAACTGAGCTAAGAGTGTTCTCTTCCAGATGAAACAATTTTGTGTTTTGTTCCATTTTTCTGGTTCGAAAACGTTGAGGACGTAGAAGGTTACAACATAATATCAACAGTTAATTGAAAACTAACTACAAATGTACGTTTATGTTAATGCTTGTGGATATGTCAGTGTAATTATTGTCGTTATTACTAATAAACATTATTTTCCTATTTTATTTTTCGTTATAAATTGCATAAAGCGTGAACACTGCGTCATTGTCAATTAAATAAACTTGTTGTCTATGAAAAACTTGTTTATTATAATTATTAAGATTGACACAAAGTTTAACAAATTTCACAAATTTTGTAATTTTTTGAAGAAGCGGGACTACACAGTATAACCTCTATAATCCGAACCCACGATTATCCGAACATCCAGTAGTCCGAACAGAGGCTAGTTGAAATCGATCTCTCTTTAATCCGAAGAAAAACTCTGCAATCCGAATTGAACTTGAAAACATGCACCTACTTGCAAAAATGACTCAAGATTTTCTTTCTATAGGAAATTTTTTGAAATTTTTAAAAATTATGATATTTCAAAGCACTTAATGAATTATCTAATTCTGGAAAAAAGGTAAAGTTATCCAAAAATGAGACCGGAAGTGACTTCTGCGCCCCGAAATCTACAAGAAAAAATATTTATTTAAAATGACCTACTCTTCTAAGAAAAGGTGCTAGCCCCGCCCACCCACCCTTTATTTTCATTGAAGATTGGGTCATCTGCCAAAATCAGTCTTATTTTAACAAGTACTAGCCCCGCCCACCCACCCTTGTTTTCTTAGAGGATATGTTATTTGCAAAAATCAGTCTCATACTTGCAAAGATAAGACTGATTTTGGCAGATGACCTATTCTTCATTTTCTTAGAAGGGTAGGTCATTGGCCAAAATGAGTTTTATTTTGGCAAATGCTAACCCCACCCACTCAGTCTTATCTTACTGAGTACTACTAGATTCTGCAGTTTTTCGATTTTTCAACTTTCGAATTTTGTCAATTTCTCGCTTTTTAAATTTTCAATTTTTTGATTTATCTTTCGATTTTTGATTTCTCTGGGCAAGTGAAAAAAGCTTTCGATTTTTTAATTTTACAATTTTGGCAGTTTTTCGATTTCTCAATTATTGATTTTTAAAAATATCAAGAAAATAGATCTTAATTTTTTCAAATTTTCGAGTTTTGATTTTTTGTCACCGAGTTTTTGGAAGGAAGTAAAAATAATTTTGATCAGCGATTTGCCCTGTTTACCGCAACTTTAAAACATCCGAAACAACAGGAAAAATTTTAACTTGAGAACTTGAAAAATTAAAAATCAAAGGATTAAAAAATTGTAAAATTAAAACTTAAAAAATCAAAAGAGGAGGTCATTTGTCAAAATGAGCCTTATTTTGCAAATACTAGCCTGGCCCACCCACCTTTTATTTTCTTCGAGGGTAGGTTATTTGGCAAGTAGTACCATAATGTAAAATTTCATTTTTGAAACATTCTGAAAAAAATCAGAGATGTATATATATCCCGCCGTTATGATTCCAAAAATGTAGCATGTGTATGGTAACGGAGCAATATTTTCGAAAAATTCGGTGTGAAATTCGAGGAAGTTCTGTCGAAATAACCCTCAACCAATTTTTTATTGATTTTTTGGCCGTTTTATCGCATTTTTTCGTTATTTTGTCTTTTTTTAATCCCCTCTTTTGGTCGAATTTTTGTGGCCTGAAAAAATAGGTTTCCTATTTCCATCTGTCTGTCATCTGTCTGCCTATCTGTCTGTGTCGAATTTTATTGATCAGATATTCTTCGAAACTACCGAATTGTTATCAAATTTTATATGTATTTTAAGAATATCGTGCAGCTTTTAAGCAATTTTTTGTTGTGCTTTTTTTGTTGATTTTTTCTACTCTGGTTTTGTCGCCTTTTTTTAACTTAAGAGTTTTCAATTTTAACCCTAGAAGATTATCAAGAAGCCACTCTTGTCATCACGATTATAGACATCGTTGCAATTTGTCCAACTCTGACACTACATAACTGTCAAACCTGTCCCCCAACCGTCAAAATTGAAAAAATTCCTGTAATTAATGTCAGGACCAAACGTAACGGTACTCACAGTAGTACCACTCGACGAAGAAAAGCTTAAACGAGACGGTTCCCTTGTCCCCATTTTGGAAAAATCCCTAATGCTCGTCCACGAATTACTGGAATTAGCAGACAGTCTGAAAACAGCAATCGAAACGAAATATGCTCCCGCTCTTGAACAGATGCGTGCGGCGAAAAAGCTTACCTCCTCCGACGATTTCAAGAAAGGTTTGACAGTAAGTAGTGGCGCCCAGCAACAATCGTCTATGACACAAGGTTGTTCCCCAACTTGCCAATTAGGTACGAGTAATTTATTCATTTAAGAGGTTTTTGGAATAGTAATGACGTTTATGTAGCGGTACGCCAGCCTCCAACTTCACTTCCACGAACTGTGTCGAAAACTTGCCCCCCATGCCCCGTTAAAAACAAAGTCAGCGCACCTTCAGTGGAACAACCTCAAGTTGTGGTGAAAACTTGTCCTCCGTGCCCTAGAGGTAAAGTTGGTGTAGACCGAAGATTGTGTGAATCAAAGTTGATTACGATTATTTATGTGCAGCACCACCGAAGGAAGAACCGCCTAAAAACGATTGCATCTGTGCACCTTGCAAAGGTAATTTAGTGACGAGACTTGTATTTAGAACTAATATCACTCTTTTTACAAGCTGCGGATGAAAAACCTAAAGATGAAGAAAAAGAGAAGCGTAGTAAGAAGTCAGCCACCGGTGAAGATCAAGCTGCTGAAAAGACAAGTAAGAAATCGACAACAGCAGAAGAGTCAGAAGAGAAACCTAATGAAAAATCAGTAACCGGTGAAGAACCAGCTGCTGAACAAACAAGCAGGAAATCTGCAACTGCAGAAGAGGCAGAAGAGAAACGTAGTAAGAAATCAACAACTCCCGAAGGTGATGCGGAGGAGGTTAAACCACCTGAGGATGCAACTGCAGCACCAGTTGAAGACAAACCTGAGCAGCCTCCAGAGGATGCCCCAGTCGAAAACACTCCAGCTGAAGACAAGCCCGAACAGCCTCCAGAGGATTCTCCACCAGCCGAGACTGATCCACCACCTAAACCTCAAGAGCAATCCGAAGAACCGAAGCCAGAAAATCAGTAACTTCCGAAAATAATTTTAAAACGAAAAAAAATGGTTGTTCCCCAAATAGACAATTTATCTACACTTGAATGAAGTTTCATTTTCGTAAAAGTCTGACCCTTTTGACATTAATGACAGATTCCTCGTCATTTTGTCAAAATTTTTGTAGCTCAATCAAAACAAGGTTACGGTACTCACAGTGGTACCTTATGAAGAAGTACCACGAAAGAAAGAACAACCTGCGAACAAACCTGAGGTACCACAAAAGATAAACCTAGATATGATAACTGATAACCAAAATTTGGCCAATCATCCCCACCAACAATTTGATGACTTCCTCTCAAAGAAATCTATTTTAAAATTATTTAAATTTTATACAACAGTACAGCTTGATATACGAATTCGCACGTCTTTATTTAATAATAATAAAATAAGCATTATAATAATAGCCAGAACATTTTGTTCGATTGGATAATTATTTTAGGACTCCGTTTTGAGGAATCAAATAGATTTCTACGTGACATTCTTTGGCTGTATAAACATAATCACTTGAAGTTAAAGCATGTTGTTATTATTACTGAGAGGACATTTTTCCCGTTGGTTATCCGCTTTGAATATATTTTACAGGCCATCGGGCGACCGGTACTTTTGTGTTTTCTCAACGTTTCATGACCTTCAGAATACGAAAACATAGATCTCTCGTTTTCATGTGTCTGCCGTCTGCTGTGTGATTTTTATTAGGCAAATAATCTGAACTACTGGACCGATTGTTGTCAAATTTTGTATATGTTACAGCTAATATCCGAAAGAATCATGCGTAATAACTGAAATTTTCAGTTATTATGGATAATAACGGAAATGTTTAGGTAATATTGATAATAACTAACACAGAAACAGGAATTATGCATAATATTTTCCAAAAAGCTACCCACCCTGCCTCGCTTTCCCCTACATATCACATGTGCAGTTGATTTAAAAAAAAAGGGACAAATTACAGTTATATAAAAGTCATATTCCCATTGCTTTTCGATCTATAAGAACCTGAATTGCTCATCTTGTCCCGTTTTTTTTTAAATCAGCTGGACATATTCTAAGCCTTTGAAACTGGTAAAAAGTGAAAAAAAAATAGAACAGGATGATACCCACTGGAAAAGGAAGAAAATATAACAAAAATAAAGGGAAAAATAATCTAGGGGCGATCTGAGGTCCGGAAGGGGAAGAGGGTGAGCTTTTAAGGGTAGAAAACGGTTTATCACGATTTCCGGCAAAATTACAAGTGCTATCGCAAAAAGTTAAATGGCAAAGTTGTAGGTAATAAAAAGATCTACAACTTTTGTATTTACACTTTCTTTCCTCAAAATTTATGCGAAAAATGCAAATAACCGAGTTTTTGGTTTTTTATTTTTATCTCCCACAAAAAATTTTTTTTTCACGAAATTTGGTGAAAACTTACCTATTTACCTATGTCCCAAACTCACTGTAATTTTTTTTATTCAAAATATTTATTTTTTTCCCTTATTTTGATTTAATATCGAAAAACCACTCTAATTTTCAATCGAAAATTCTCACGTCAAAATATTTGCTTTTTAAAAAAATCGGTGTGATTTTTGTTCGCTGAAATCTCTAGTTTCTGAAGGTGTAAAAAAAATTATACATTACTATGGCAAATTTTCACAGGAAATGCAAAAAAACGAAAAAACTCGAATTCAAAAATTTGTTTTTTAATTATTATGTAAAATTTGGAGCTATTTATTAAAATGTACACGTTAATTACTCGAAAAACGTAATATTTCATGTTACATTGATAAATTAAAAAATTGCAAATCGAAATATACTACTATAGGTGATAAGGGTGGCCCATCCAAAAATTTTTTTTTATTTTTCGGACAAATTTTTTTATTTTTATTTTTTTAAGATTTGGCTTCAAAAAATACATATAACCCTAGATTGTCATCCTTCTACCACCAACCCCCATTTTGTAGTAACGATATTAGTATCTTTACTTTCATCCACAGATACGCAAGGCAGGGTTCAAGATGGCTGTTGAATATAATCATTGTCGTACGATAAATTTTTATGTATAATTTATAATTTATTTTAATTATAATTTATTTATTTATTTTGATTTAATTTTTTATTTAACTACTAAAATATTCACTGGGTCTGCTAGTCAGACGATAAAAATTTGTCAAATTTGGCCTATATTTTTTATAAAAAACATGCAAACAAAGAAGATATCGCAAAAGCATGAATTACAATTAATCAAATATATTTATAAATGTAAAAATGACAATATAACACTGAATCAATTAAATTATCTTTCATATTGACAAATCTCCCACCAAGAGTAGGCGTTTGTTTAATGGATTTTCAATTTTTGAGTTTATCAGTGTAACGTGGAATCTTACTTTTTTCGAGTAATTAAAGTGTAAATTTTAATAAATAGCTCAAAATTTTACATGATAAAAAAAATTCGAATTCGAGTTTTTCGTTTTTTTGGATTTCCTGTGAAAATTTGCCAGAGTAATGTATACTTTTTTACACCATCAGAAAGTAGAGACTTCAACGAACAAAAAGCACACCGATTTTTTTAAAAAAGCAAACATTTTGACGTGAGAATTTTCGATTAAAAATTAGGGTGGTTTTTCGATATTCAATCAAAATAAGAGAGAAAAATAAATATTTTGAATCAAAAAAATTACTGTGATTTTGGGACATAAATAGATAAGTTTTCACCAAATTTCGTGAAAAAAACTTTTTTATGGGAGATAAAAATAAAAAACCAAAAACTCGGTTATTTCCATTTTTCACATAAATTTTGAGGTTATTTAAAAAAAGTCTAAATACAAAAGTTGTAGATCCTTTTATTACCTAGAACTTTGCCATTTAACTTTTTTCGATAGGACTTGTAGTTTTGCCGGAAATCGTGATAAACCGTTTTCTACCCTTAAAAGCTCACCCTCTTCCACTTCCCAACCTCAGATCGCCCGTAAATTATTTTTCCTTTTATTTTTGTTATATTTTCTTCCTTTTCCAATGGGTATCATCCATCCTGTTCTAAATTTTTTTGTTCTCAAAAATTATCGGCCCTGGCCTATTAGGCAATATACTTAATGACTAATGTTTCAGTTATTACGCATAATTCCTAATGTTTCCGGTTGTTACGCATAATAACTGACAAGTTTAGTTAATACGCATAATTCCTAAAATATCTAGTTATTATGCATAATAACGTATTTCGGATATTAGCTGTAACATATATATGTTTATTAGGAATATCGTGATACATTTTATAATATAATGTACTACTACTTGTAGTTTATGAATCCCTGTTGAGTTTTTATCCTAGGCATCCAGATTTTTGTAAAAAAATCAAAGTTGTATAACGTAGCTGTATTTCTTCGACTGCTTTATAAATACTTTTTTTTGTCTTCATATTCTGATTAAATTTTTAATATCTAATGTTGTTGTAAACAAGTTATTTATTAACTAATAAATCAAGGGCAACCTTTAGATTAGACATAAATTCCACGCTAGCAGCAGTTTTATAGTAGTAGTAGTGAAATGATAGTTTATTAAAGTTTTGTCGTCCAATCGCTTATATAGTGTAAAAATAGCAAAAAACTAAAATTGATCTCCGTAAGAATATAATGATTATTCCTTCAACAATACATTTTTCCTAAGTTTTCCTTAGCAATAAATGTTAATCAATTTCTAATTTTTTAAAATTTCCGTGATACCCTAAAATTTCGTCGTTTTCGTTTGCTAGTTGAGTTGGTCTCAGATTTTCATTCACTCGTAGTTCATCCAGGAGATTGAACCGGTCTCGATAATCTTGAAATTTAAGTTGGCACAATTCTACAAATTTAAATTAAATTAAAAACAACTCAATCTAAAATATTATCGGTACCATGCAATTCCTCGACTGATTTCTCCGTACCACCGTAATCTTTTGGCAAAATTTCTAAAGAAAAGTGCTCCTTTAAAATACTGGCGTCTTTACACACATGAACCTGAATTTTTAAAAATAGATTAGTTTTCCATTTTGAACTACATTCTCACCCTTTTGAATATTTTAGGTTTCACGAAAGCCTTGGCGATGGCTAGTAACGTGCTAACGTAAGGAACAGCGTGAATAATGTAAACACCCTGTACAGGAAGAGAATATACTTTCTGTAAGAAATACATGATTATTTTGTTATTTATTTGGTTAGATTTACTTGGTACAAAGTTATAGCCGTGCCAGCAAAATTTGGCGTCAGTTTTGATAAAAAACCCATACACGTCCCTTCTATGTCAAAAATGAAAATATCTCGAAACATGATGTCTTCTTTTAGTCTGATTTCTTGCAAGTTAGCAGCCATTTTAAGTATGTCGTAGGGTTCAATTTGCCCCACTTTGTCTGTAGTTCGGTACTTATTGACGAAAACTCTGCACATATCTTTTGTCAGTTTTGGTAGCGGCACGTGGTACATAAGATTTGCCACTTCTTTCATGTTCGAACATCTAGGATTCATATTTCTGGCTAGATGCGATAACTGACTGCGGGCAGTGTAGTACATGTCGATTTTTTCTTTTGCTTTTTCTGCGTTACATTTATTCAAGATTAAAAAATTTTGCACAGTTTTATCATCTATAAATTTACTAATTGTGTTAACAGGCAAGTATGATTTTATCGTTTCCTTACCCAAAATTTCGGGAAGGTGGTGCTGCAAGTGCATCCACTTTTTTAAATTTTTGACATTTTCAGCCAAAGATTGTTCAGTTTTATTGTATACTTGGAGAACTGAGCTGAGAGTGTTGTCGTCTACATGAAACAATTTTTTGTCTTGTTCCATGTTTCTGGTTCATAAAAAGTCGACGACTTAGAGGGTTAAAAGATAATATGAACAGTTGATTTAATACTAACTATGAATAAGCGTTTTTATTTATTTTTTTTTTATTGTAAATTAAATATGCAAAAAATGATTTTTCTGGCTTACCTAAAATTTCTGGAAGTTACACTTCTTCAAAGTTTGGACCTCTTCAACTAACTGTTGTTCAGTGCGTGGTTACGCAAGGGTTATAACGCACAAATTGAACTTCTAACATTGAATGTTGAACTTGGATAAATTTGGAGGCTGTTTATATTGATTTGGGAAGTGCGTGTAATATCTGCAAGATTTCGTAACTCAACCGGTTTAAAAAAATATCCACGCGCACACGTTTTTACGCATCAAGGTAACCCACATTTTCATCATGGATCATGGGATTTTTTTAGATTTTTTGAGCGAGTTGACCACAATTTTTTTATAAGGACTGTTGAGATCAATATTCAAGCGCTTCGCAGCCTGTTAGATACGAAAATGCAGCTTGTTAATTTTCGCGTTTTTGAATATTTTATTTTGGAAATTGATTCACGAGTCTGACACTGTGGACACGTTGTTTTGAATTGTAATTGTGTGCCAATGAGTTAAAATTTTTTTCATAGTTGCATTTTTAAGAGTAAGATTCTATAGTTTTTACAGATTTAGATCCCTTAATTGTAAAAAAAACAAAGATAATGGCACTTTTCAGTATATTGTATTTTTCTGCAAAAAATAGATTGTTTAAAATGATGTAGCTGGAAATTTTTTAATACATATACGTATTTTTCCAAAAAAAAATAATGATTAACATGGGTTCAGTCGATTGAGAGTTAGTATCAAATTGTAGATAATCTATTAATAATTACAAATTGGAAATTCCTTTTACGACATCTATTCAAATAAACGTGAAAATGTGTTTATAACTTTCAAAATATTTCTGTTTATCTTAATAGTTTTTGGATTTGGATTGAGTTCATTACGTTTAAATCTTGTTCAATTCTTTAGATCGCTGTTAACAAGAGATTAATAATAAGTTTTGTACAAAATTCCAAAACTACATATGTATAAAAATGATGGAGCTGGAGACCTTTAAATATAACAATTTTTTTCAATAAAAATAAATATACTGAAAATTTTGGTCGAAAAACCCTTGCATGCCGTAATAATTTTTCTTTTTCATGCAAAATCCAATTCTGTATAAATGTATAGGCCGTTTCATTACAAAAAACTGTTTTCAATTATAGAATGATTATTATAAATTGTTGATTTCTAGACCGCTGAAACACCCTGTATGTTGGTACCGTTGAACCGTAATCATGCAATAGATTTTTTTCGAGAAAATGCAGTTATTTTTATGTTTTAGAACCATTATGTTCTATTTTACATTAATTGTTACACACTTTTAGTCACAATTTTGGTAGTTATTTATTTTCGATACATTGTATGATATTAACATTGGGAAAAGTTTTAGCATAATTGCAAAATCCATATTTCCCTACAAAATTTATCATTTTAAACCTGTTTTAAGTTTCTTGTAGTGAAAAAAACTACTAATATTAAGAAAAACATAAACAAAATATCTGTCTCAATTGGGATGGTTTTTTTTATTTGTTGTGAGCCAGAGGGCGGAGCTTAATTGCAAAATTCTTATTTTTCTACAAGAAATTACCGTCATGTTCTTGCAAAATTATGTTCAAAGGAAACTATAATTATTATCAAGTAAAAAAGGAAGAGAAAATTGAAAAATTGAATTATCGAAGAAACAAAAATTTTAAAATTCGAAAAATTAAAAAAAAAACCGAAGTTGAAAAGTTCCCCAAATTGATAATAATCTTGGAAAAATTGTGAAATCCAAAACTTAAAAAATCGGGAAATCTAAAAATCGAAAAGCTGAAAAACTTTAAAAATCGAAAAACCAAGATGACAAAATTAAAAATTACAAAAATCGAAAAATAGAAAAATTGAAGACCTGAAAAATCGAGAAATCCAAATATAAAAATTGGAAAATCTAAAACTATAAAATCCAGAAATTGAACAACCGGATAATTGAAAAATCGAATCATGGAAAAATTGGGAAATCGAAAATTTAAAAATTCCGAAAATATTGAAAATTGAAATATAGAAGAACTGAAAACTCGAGAAATCGAAAAACCTAAAATTTTAAAAATTGAAAAGTCAAAATATCGAAAAGTAGAAAAATTGAGAAATCGAAGTATAAATTAGTCGAAAAATTGAAAAATCAAAAGTTTAAAAAACGAAAAATCCAGAACTCGAACAGTCGAAATATTAAGAAATCCCAAAACTCAAATATCGAAAAATTGAAAAATTGAAGAAAAATTGAAGAATCAAAAAACTGAAAAATTGCAAAATTTAACGAAATATCCAAAAATTGTGAAATTAAAAAATTGAAAAATTGAGAAATCGATAAGTCAAAAAAGCAAAGTCGAAAAGTCGCAAACTTAAAAAATAGAAAAATTGAAAAACTTTAAAAATCAAAAAATTGAAGAACTGAAAAATCGAGAAATCCAAATATGAAAAATTGGAAAATCTAAAACTTTAAAATTGAGAAATTGAACAACCGGATAATTGAAAAATCGAACCATGGAAAAATTGGGAAATCGAAAAATTTAAAAATTCCGAAAATATTGAAAATTGAAATATAGAAGAACTGAAAACTTGAGAAATCGAAAAACCTAAAATTTTAAAAATTGAAAAGTCAAAATATCGAAAAGTAGAAAAATTGAGAAATCGGAGTATAAATTAGTCGAAAAATTGAAAAATCAAAAGTTTAAAAAATGAAAAATCCAGTAAGTAATCCGGTAAGTCAAAAAAGCACAGTCGGAAAATCGCAAGCTTAAAAAATTGAAAAATTGAAAAATCCAAAACCTGAAAAATCCGAACATTTAAGAACTGAAGCACTGAAAGATCGAAACTTTGGGAAAACGAGAAATGGGAAAATCAAAAATTAGATTAATTGAGAAATCGAAAAACTAAAAATTCAGAAATGTCAAAGTTCGAAAAATTAAAAAATGTTGAAAAACTGAAAAATCGAAATGTCCAAAGTTTAAAATACTGGAGAAATCCAAACATCAAAAAATAGGAATTCGAAAATCTAAAATTTAAAAATCGAAATACTGAAAAATCAACAAATAAAGAAATCGAAACTCCAGAATTTAAATAATTGAAAAATTCAAAAATGGGATAACTGAAAAATCGAAAAACCAAGATGGCAAAATTACAAAATCGAAAAATTGAAAAATAAAAATATTGAAGAACTGAAAAATTGAGAAATCTAAAAATCTAACATTTAAAACATTGAAAAATTCAAATATCGAAAAATTGTAAAAATCGAGGAATCCTGAATAACTGGAAAATATAAAATTTAATAATAGAGAAATTGAACAATTGGGAAATCGATATTTAAAAATTCCAAAAATTGAAAAACTGAAATATAAGACTGAAAACTCGAGAAATCGAAAAGCCTAAAATTTTAAAAATTGAAAAGTAAAAAAATTTAGAAATTGAAGTATAAAACAGCCGAAAAAACGAAAAATCCAGAACTCGAAAATCGAAAAGTCGAATTACATTAAAAAATCCCAAAAATCAAACATCGAAAAATTGAAGAATCGAAAAACTGAAAAATTACAAAATTGAACGAAACATCCAAAAATTGGGAAATTAAAAAATCGAAAAGTCAAAAAAGCAAAGTCGGAAAATCGCAAACTTAAAAAATCGGAAAATTGAAGAATCCAGAACCTGAAAAATCGAAAAAATTAAGAACTGAATAACTGAAAGATCGAAACTTTGGGAAGTCGATAAATGGGAAAATAAAAAAAATAGATTAATTGAGAAGTGGGAAAACTGAAAATTCAGAAAAGTCAAAGTTTGAAAAATTAAACAATATTGAAAAACTGAAAAATCGAAATGTCTAAAATTTAAAACACTGGAGAAATCCAAACATCAAAAAATCAAAACAATAAAAATTCAAAAATCTAAAAACTGAAAAATCAACAAATCGAGAAATCAAAATTCGAAAATTTAAAAAACTAGAAAATTGAAAAATCGGGACATTGAAAAATCGAAAAACCGACAAATCGAAAATCGAAATATCGAAAAATTTAAAATCTGAGAGATTGAAAAATTAAAAGATCGAGAAGTCGAGAAGTCGAAAGGTTGAAAAATCGAAAAATTGAGAAACATTGGGATCTCGATCAATGGAGATTTCAAAAAATTAAAAAATCAACAATTTAAAAATTCAGAAAACTGAAAAATTAAAATATAGAAAAGATCAAAATTGAGAAATCGCAAGATAAAACAGTCGAAAAATTGAAAAATCTAAAGTTTAAAAAACGAAAAACTGGAAAACCAAAAAATTAAAAATCAAAAAATCGAAAAGTCCAAGAATCGAAATACTGAGAAAATTAAAAAAGTGGAAAATTGAGAAATTGAAACTTTGGAAAATCGAGAAATGGGAAAACAAAAAAAAAGATTACTTCAGAAATCGGAAAACTGGAACTTTAGCAACGTCAAAATTAGAAAAATTGAAAACAGAAGTCCTGAGAAACTGAAAAATGAAAAAATCGAGAAATCGAAAAATGTAAAATTTAAAACTCTGAACAATTAAAATATCGCAAATTTGAAAAATCGAAAAGTCCAAACATCAAAAAAAGAAATTCGAAAATCTAAAATTTAAAAATCGAAAACCTGAAAAATCCAACAAATCGAGAAATCGAGACTCCAGAATTTAAAAAATTGAAAAATTGAAACGTCGAAAAATGGAATATCAAAAAATTCAAAAGCCAAAAAGTATAAAATCGAAATCCGAGAAATCCAAAAATGGAAACATCGAAAAACTCAAAAACTGAGACACGAAGCCCCGAAAGCCGGGAAGAAAAACTAAAATTGAAAAACCGATAAGTCGAGAACTCGAAAAATTTTAAAAAAGAAAAATTGGAAAATCGAGAATTTAAAATTTGAGAAATCAAAAAAGG